CCCCCCCTGCCTACTTCGTATATAAGCAGCACCTTCCACATCCTATCACCACAGCTACTGCTCTCCGCAGCTATTCAACTGCTCTGAAGATGGAGGCGCTACGTTCCTCCGAAACGTCGGCCAAAACGAAGAATACACGGTGCCTAAACCCAGAAGACAACTTTCTTTATTGTCATCGCCGTGAAAACTTAAAAACTCACAAACTTCACTTACTGTTTCTCTTTCACAGCTACCACCCTCAGCGACAGCCAGAGTACCGAAACCACTGTGGCGACAACAATGGTGGGTGTTCGCATATGTGTCTTTCCAACAGAAGAGGGTACCAGTGCATGTGTCCGATTGGCCTTAAGCTTCATGCTGACAGGTATGTTTCTTATGAGATTTGGGGTTCAAAAGTTGCATAATGAGGAGCTTCACACCTTGCACTCTTCACCAAGCATACTTAGAATAAAGAAACCAAGTAGGACGAGATGGACAGGGCATGTAGCACAGCTAGCAGAGGGCTTTTGTGAACACAGTATTGAACCTTTGGGTTCCATAAAATGTTGGGAAATTCTTGAGTAGCTGAGCGACTGGTAGCATCTCAAGAAGGACTCAGCTCCATGGAGGTAGGCAGTTAGTTCACAGTGGTGATTGTGAAGATTACTGTCTTTTCTGGGATGTCGTACTGTGTATCGGAAAAATGGGCTGCCTTCATCTTCAGAACAGAATTGTAAGCTGCTCATATGAAAAGTGAAAGGAATCAGTTGATGACGTTTGCCTGGAGGGACTTAGGAAAACCATGAAAAGTGTTAGCCAGGATAGTCAGTGTCCGATCTGAAATCAAAACCAGGCATGCATGTGAAAGTGAGACAAAAGCATTACTGCTTGCTCCAACCTGCTTGATCTCTCGAGTTATCACTGTCACACAGGGAAGTAAGTCTGAATGCCATTGGTTCACCATGCTATTGTCACCCAGCAATAAGGGATATAAATCTCCCTCTTTCCTTTCAGGAGGAACTGTGATTCAACACCAGCCAAACTTCTGCTGTTTGCTCGTAAGAAAGATCTACGCATGCATCAGCTAGAGAACAGCGATGTCGATATGGTGATCCCTGTTGATGGCATTCGATCAGCTGTTGCTCTTGCATGGGACAGTAATTCTGACTCAGTTTTCTGGACTGACATTGAGGCCGACACAATTAATAGAGCACATCTAAATGGAAGTCGGCAAAGAGCGATTGTCAGTTCGAATCTTGGTAAAGAATGCACCTATACCTTTCTGCTCTTTTATAACTTGTAAATCTGATTTCCTCATTTTATAAGAAAGGGAAGGGAGGGGGAAAAGACCGATTTTGGTTAAGTTCACCACGTTTTCTGAAACAATGATAAGTGTTGCCACATACAAATTGGATGGTATGAGAATCAGGATTGAACAAGATTATACATCAGAAGTATGCCAGAAAGGAAAACAAATAGCATTATATAATTGGTTCAGGATTGTATCCAATGGCAGGCTTTAATGTCAGAGGTGCTGAGTGTTTGGGTTCTGCTACCAGAGAGTTAGTTAATTAGGAAGATGAATTTTAGGGAAACAAGTTGCGAGGATGGTGAGTGGATGGAACTAGCTCAGGTTCATATCCAATGGTGGGCTTTGGTGTTAGCCATGTTGAATATTAGGGTTCTGCTGCCAGAGAATTAGTTAATTAGTAAGATGGATCTTAGGGAAATAGGCTGTGAGGACGGGAGGTGGATGGAATTGTCTCAGGATCATGTCCTGTGGCTAACTTTGGTATAGAGAGTTAGTTAATTAGTAAGATGGATCTTAGGGAAATAGGCTGTGAGGATGGGGGGTGGATTGAATTGTCTCAGGATCATGTCCTGTGGCTAACTTTGGTATAGAGAGTTAGTTAATTAGTAAGATGGATCTTAGGGAAATAGGCTATGAGGATGGAAGGTGGATTGAAATGGCTCAGGATCATGTCCTGTGGCTGGCTTTGGTATTAGTAGTGTTGATCCTTCGGGTTCTGCTACTAGAGAGTTAGTTAATTAGTAAGATGGATCTTAGGGAAATAGGCTGTGAGGATGGAACTGGCTCAAGATCATGTCCAATGGCGGGCTTTGGTATTAGCGGTACCGAATTTTTGGATTTAGCTACCAGAGTGGTGTACTGCCTTGGTTCATACCTGCTTTATATTTTGCTTGTTTTAGAGTCACCTGCTGGCCTGGCTGTAGACTGGGTGACTAGGAAACTGTACTGGACAGATGCTGGAACCAGTAGAATTGAAGTGTCCAACCTTGATGGTAGCATGAGAGGCCTACTTGTCTGGGAGGGTTTAGACAAACCCAGGGACATTGTAGTGGATCCTATTGGTGAGTGTGTCATGTGAGTCAGTCCAGTAACGTCTTCTTATAACCTGGTATATCTTCTCTTTCATATGAGTTTTCATTCAACATATGTACTTGTTTATAGATAAAATAGTTTACAGTATATTATTTGCAATCCCCTGATATTCATGGTACTTATATATGCTTAACTGTTACTGACTTCATAATATTTTCAGCTTTCTTCCCTTTTATTTCCTTCTTCCCTCTTGCCTTTTTCTTTTACATTTTCCAGTTAGGTAAAGTCATCCTTATTCTTAATTATTAAGCCATACAGACATATGAAGGAGTGGAGGTGTAGCTCTATGCATTCTTTTCCTTGGCACTAGATGGTGTGTGGTCATCATCATGCTACAGCCACTTTACCCCCAGGGAAAGGGACTGAGGTACCCATTAGAGAGGGGGATGGGTGGCCCCCAGTACCTGTTTGGGCACTGTAATAGAAGAGGAATTTCTTGCCACTCCCAAGAATTGAATCCTAACACCTGAATCAACTAGTCCACACTCTAGTCATCGTACAGCACATTAAATCCCCAACTTGAGCAAGCTGAATCCTACTGGATTTGAGGTTCCTATGGTGGTGACTATGAAGGGATGTGAAGCCATGCAGTCAGGTAGAAGTGGAAGCAAGGTGAATTTCTACCTGACTACATGGCAAAGATACTAAGTACCCTTCATAGTCACTGCTATGAGGACTATAGTTTCAGCATGTATATCCTCTATGGGGACACTACTGTATTCAACATCTCAGAAGGCAATACTCCTCATAACACTAGTAATGTAGCCATCTGAACAGTATTCTTCTGCTCCCATAGATGACGCTGCTTGTTATTTTCTTTTGCAGGCGGTTACATGTACTGGAGTGACTGGGGGGCTGTGCCAAAGATAGAGCGAGCTGGTATGGATGGCTCACAGCGAGCACCACTCATAATTCACAATTTAACATGGCCTAATGGGCTTGCTATTGATCACGACCATGGACGACTCTACTGGGCTGATGGAGGCACCAAAGCCATTGAATTTGCCTTGCTGGATGGAACTGGGCGCACTGTGCTCATAGGTATGAGGCTGTGAGCTTCAAGGTCTGACACTGATTTTGAACAAAATTCCCATTATCTGCAGACAAACAGATGACAGGGCACAGGATGGCCAATACGCTGCTCTGCCCATTTTAACAGGATCACTAAAGACATCCTATGACAATGAACAATTTATTAGGCAAATGCTATAGAGCACAGTAGGTGTTTTAATGGAAGGGCTGTGAGACTTTCTAGAGCGAAAAATGGGAAGGAAAGGCTTTCTAGAGCACAGTAAGTGTCTTGAGGGAAGGGATATGGGACTTCCTAGGGGAAGGGAAAATTTTATGGGAAAACATATTTTAGACAAATACCAACTATAGCCAGAGTGAATCAGACTGAGAATGCAATAAGGTTACATGAGCAGGTTGCAAGGAAGGGAGTAACTCAGATCCATGAGAGAGACAGAAGACAGGCAGAACACTAGGTAGGATTTGAGGTTCTCACAATGATAATTAGGAAGAGTAATAATGCTGTGCAGTCTGCTGAAAGTCAACTGACATTTCAAAGGAACATGTCACCTCCATCTTCACGGTCAAAGAAAAAAGACAAGCAAGAAAGCAACATGAAGCAGGTAGCAAGCATAGTTCTGCTCTGTTTTTGACTTTCAGCAGACTACACAGCATTACATCCTAGAATATATAACTCTTTATCATTACAATAGTCAACATTTTAGTACCTATTGTAACGTGTTTCGTTACTGAATACGCCGTAGAGATCGTTAATTGGTTTATTGAACAATCTACAAATATTGGCTACAATTAATTATCACAGTGTTATGGGTTTCCACACTTTACAAACCCTAATCGCATTCATCTGTTAACACTGTTGCAGGGTTTCACGATTTATAACACTATGCGCAAATCAGTTCACTCTGTCTTCAGTAGTCTACACGTTTACAGTAGGGGAGCTATGTATCACTGTATCACACACTCCCAATTACACAATTACACACACGTCCGGTTCTTCTTTCCGCGACGGCTGCTATACTCCAACTGTAGTCGGCTGACTGGAGAACTATTGATAACACACTCGCTCGTAGGCTTGCTCGGAACTAGCTTGGAACTGAGCTCAGTGATGGCCACATTACAACTGACTCGTAGCTGCTGTGCAGTTCCCTTATATAGCCGCAGTGGTGCCTGTTGCATGCCACGTCACAGTAGGAAGCGGTGCCGCGTCTCCGTGTTTGCGTATAGCCTAGCAACGCTGTTACCTCACGCCGTCTTACGTCACCGCGGAGGGGGGGAGGGAGCGCTGACTCATACGCCACGTCACTGTGGCCTGAGTTGCCACGTTGCTGCTGGGTAGGGAGGGGTTCTCCGTTGCGCAACATGTCACAATACAATATTTTTAATTTAAATGTTGTACACCCGTCCCCACACGCTTAACTTCACGCGGTGTATGCCTCGACTAAATTCAGCGGAATGAGTCTTACATCCCAGGGGTACACGGGTGTTGGCTCGCTTACGTTGTTTTTTGGACGCGGGCTCGATCGGTTAACCCCCTAGCACAGGTTCCACAGGAACACCCTCACTACCTGGCTTCTACTCCCTGACCTCTAGGCTTCCACTCCCTGACTCTCCCGGCTTCCACTCACTGACTAACTCCTTACCCCCGCTGCTGCTTCCAGAAACCACGTTCTTAGCCATCTCGAACTTTCCACTGGGAGGTTTTCATGACCAAATGCACGGACCCCTTC